GTTTCTGGGGTTTTGTTTAGCTTCTATATTTGCAACATAGTTGCTTAGAGTTGCAGCTGAGAGGCTGGCAAGTCAGGCGGGGAACGTTGGAGTCCACAGTCACTGGAGCAAGCAAGCCTCCCTGCTCGCTTCAGTGCATGGCTGCCGGCCGCCATCTTGGCTGACAGTTAATTTGCATAAGGATATGCTGATTAGCCAATGGGAAGGGTACGCTAATTAGCATGTTTCTCTTTTATTAGTGTAGATTATATAATCTATTATTTTGCAACCACACCCCATTTAGCCAAAGCTTATGATTAACTCTACAAGAAAGCAAGGCTGCTAGAGTGTGGAAAAGGACAAGGTGGGCTTTCTTGTTTTTAAAATGGTCTTGGCCCTGGCCAAGTAGCTCAGTTGATTAGAGCATTATCCCGATATGCCAAGGTTGCAGGTTCAATGCCTGGTCAGGGCACATAAAAGAATAAACCAATGAATGCATATATATGTGGAACAACAAACAGATGTTTCTCTCTTCTCCATTCTCTTTTTAAAATCAACACATTTTTAAAATTTCTTCTTAACCTAAAAGCCAATGAATGGGTTCCAGGAAGACAGAGGCCTCCCACAGAAAACAAAAATGAGTGTGAAGGACCATGGTATGTACATGAGTCTGAGAAGATTCAGAGCTTTCTTCCTGTGTCTAAGGGGTCTATGACTCCAAAGAGGTTAAGAACCAGTCAGGTAGGAGACTTAGACAGTGAGTCTACACAGTACTCAAATTCAAAGGAAAAGTTCATGTCCCGTGGAAAGGCTTTTTCCCTTCAGATGTGAAAGAGCATGATCTTCATAATTCTTTAGTGTTTTTATTAAGGGAGATAGATAAACTCTCTGTTTATAGCTAAAGAGACAGATTAATAATCATCCTATTGCATTGATATTAAATCAGTAATTAAAAGGGATCAGCAATAGATCTCTCTCACAGTTAAAAACACACACACACTCTTTTATTATTCCTGTTTTGTATTGTATCTATTACTCTGTGTATGTTCATTTAGTCAGTATATTTTAAATTAACAAATACTTTTTTATGAAGGGGCATGGGATCATTTAAAATTTGTAGAACACAGCATCAAACAAACAATTTTCAGCCTTTTGACTTAATCAAATCTGACCCTTTCCAGATCCAAAAGTATTCCCTTTTAAATTGAGATAGTACATGATTTCAAATTTAGTCAAAGTGAAGTTGTACTTACCCCTAACACAAGTGTATCTGTTGTAGAGATTTTTGAACATGCACATGGAGCCATATTAACAGCATTTCTTCTAGATGACCGTGTCTCTAATCTTTGGTGATATCTTTATTTGCACACTTCTACAAAATAATACAAAATGCACATACATACTTTACTCAAAAGGAAATACTTCAGTTTAATTCTTTCCTTATTGTTTTGCAACTACCACTCCCTAAACTCAGAAGCAACAGCTTTTCTTTCCATGCCTTCACTTTTAGCGGCATCCACTTACATCCACCTGTTCTGAATAAGTCTCCATAACTGGAAAGCTTCTCTGTGACTAAAAGATATTGGTATATTTCAGATATTTTCTGTGAGTAGTAAACAGTGTCTCTGATGATAAAGTAGAAAGAACAACTAGGGAACAGTGTTAGAACATTTTCAGTAAAGCTTTTAACAACTCATTTGCAGTTCATAATCAAGTCAATGCAATTCCCAATGCCATCTCTGCATTTTCAAAACCAAGTTCTTGTATATAAGTTTATCACAGGCTTGTGATTCTTTTCCCTGACACATACCTGATACCTAGTTCCTCTTTCTGTGTGAAAGAACTTTTTCTTTCATCAGACAACTTAACAAAGTTGCTTCCACAATTCTAAAGGCTTCTAGTGTTTTCCATACCCTCTATATTCCTGCATTTCTTCCTGGTATTTAGATCTTCTTTACATTAAAACAAAAACCTGGCTAATAATTGCGTCCCCTTAAGGGATTTTATCCTCTGTGGATCAGAAATTATACTGTTCTACATTTTCTAACATGTTATATTATGTCAATAGCATGAATGATGCCACTTAGCTGACGGATGATCTTAAAAACTTGAGCCTTTGTCCTTTCAAAAAGGAGGGAGTTTGACTAAATGATCTTTCATCCTCTGTAACCTTAAAAACTCATGGCTTGGTTATCTTAATGAGTCTTCAGTTTCTAAAACAGGTTTTCTGAATGTCTCTTAATTCTATAAAGAATAGAGACAAAAAGAAAAACTAGGCAAGGACACAACAACAGGTGATAGAAAACAGTATGTTAATAACTGAAATATAAATAGTGAGCTTTATATATTCAAACACTACCTCTGAGAAATACCAAAGGGTATAGGCCTATGGGCAACCAAGATTAATCACTCTGTCATGCTTAAATAAAAGGGATAGAATTATAAAATTTATATGGAAAAAATAATGAGGGAAAACTATATCTAGATTGCTATTTATTTCACTTTTTAGGTAAAAGGAAAATAATAAAAATAATAAGCCCTTTTTTGTATCTGTAATCTCTATCAGGCCCCCACCAAAACCACCCAAAATGAGGTGTTCGTTAAAGTACTACGTAAAAGAAGGATGTGTGTGTGTGTTTAAAACCCTCAGCTTAACATGATCTCATTCATTTGTGGAATATAATGAACAACATAAACTGATGAACAAAAATAGATCCAGAGACATAAAAGCATCTAACAGATGGTCAAACCTCAGAGGGAAGGTAGGGGAAGGTGAGGGGTGGTAAGAGATCAACCAAAGGACTTGTATCCATGCATATGAGCATGACCAATGGACACAGACAATAGGGGGTGGGGGCAGGTGCTGAGGGCGGAGCAGGCAGGGAGAGGTCAAGGGGTGGGGGGAAGGAGACATGTAAAATTTTCAACAATAAAGAATTAAAAAACAAACAAACCCTCAGCTTCATTGATGAAAGTAAGAAACTAAGAAATACTACAATATATTCCTGGAATAAATGATGGTTAGAACAACAAACAAAAAAAACCCATTCTACGTGCAGTTACTGTACAAACCAGTTAAGTATCCCATTTTGTATAATTAAATGAAATTAACCATTTATTGTTTAGTAGTTTCTACAAAACAAGCCCCTAGTCTTTATTGCTGACCCACTAAACTTGCCTCACAAATTCTGGAACAGTCACAAGAGAGCTCATTTCTAGAAATCACTTGTCCATCTTTAGCGTCTTTAGTAGCGATGCAACCTCACTGTCCTCCAGTTCTTTAGCGGGGCATATGAAGCCCTTCACGAATTGCTCCCTGCCCACGTTCTCAGCCTCAACCCGGCCACCCGCTCGGTTTCAGCCCTAAAACAACTCGGACAGTGTCCTTCTTGGGGAAGGGAAGCCTCCTCTCCTGGTCCCCCAACCTTCTGAACATGCATGCCTCCTATCACAGTGTAATCTAACTTTCGGCTTTCAGCACTGGCTCCGAAGGTAGTGTGAGCTCCCAGAAGTCAAGGAATTCATTCCTGAATGTTCAGGGCCAGTCCTGGGCTGCAACCCAGATACTCAGACTAGGTGAGCCCAACCTCTTGAGCGTGAGTGGGGGTTAGGGGGTGTGGCACCGAATTCTGTCTCCGTGTCCGTTATGGTTTATAACACTTAAGAAATCCCATAAGCAAAACGACATCATTACCCCTCATTTTACTTGTTTAAGGTCCCAAGGATCGAGTGTCTCCCTCTCAAGCCCAGGCCAAGGTGTTCTCCGCGCGGTCCTGGCTTAAGAGGCAGATCTCAGCTGGCGGCGCCCTCAGAGCCAGGTTGCCAGACCCTGCCCAGAGGTCATCACTTAGGTAGCAAGGAGCCCAGGACCAGCTGGCCCTCAGGCTCCTCACTCCCTCAGGCTGCTTGGGCCTCCAACGGTGGGCAGCGGCGTGGTCCTTAGGCGCCTGCGTGCCCACTCCTGGTGGGCGGGGCGGGAGAGCTTGTGCGCAGACTCACTAGCCCCGGCTGGGCCATGCAGTCTGACCCCCGCCAACCACCACTCTGGGATCTCTAGAAGCGGCTTCTCCAAACATCCATTTCAGACATTGGCCCTTCTGGTGCCTTTCTTGTACACACATCTGCGGCAAAGCGACCAACATCACCGGTAGCATTTTCTGCCCTCAAATATTGGCCACAAATGCACTTTAGATTCGACGGTGGAGATAATGAAAAGGCAAGTAGCTGAGTCAATGACTCACTTAAAAAAAAAAAGTAGCCAAGTAAGGAAATTGATGAATGGAATATTTAGCAAGACACCAGAATGACTTTTTCATCCACCTGCTGAGGTGAGTTTACCTTTCAGATTATACCTGGCATCGGTTTTCTATTTGATGTAGACAGTGGTTAAAACAATGTTTAGAAAGAGATGAGGTCTGACAAAGGCTTGGAAACTCTGTGTGGTATCTGAGCTTGACTAGCAGCCTCTGGTGGCAAGGGTGGTCCAGAGAAGCAAGCTATTGTGATATGATGGTGACAGATTTTTACCACCAGATGTCCTCCATGGTTAATCTTTGCCTTTCTAAAATTTCATGTATGTTTGGGGCAATTACACTTTTATTCTCTTTCTGGGATAGTGTAAGAAAGAGAAACAAATAAATAAATGATGGAAACACCAGACGACCGTGACAGGTGGTGCCTGGCAGAGAATTCGGATAAAGGGGGGAGGAGGGGAGGGAGGAAGTGTCTAAAGAGCAAGGTGCAACTGGGTGGTCAGAAAGGGCCTGTTTTGTGTTGTTGGTTTTTCTAGTCATTTTTCCAAATTCTGAAATACTGTCTTTACAATTCAAAAATATATTTCAGAAGCTATTTAAAGTGATACTAGTTTATCTAAATTACTTTTTCTTAAGTATTTGGATTTCATAGAAGAAATTTAGAATAGTGGTCCTTAAACTGATGCATATTAGAATCACTGTGAGAAGTTTTTTTGAAAAAAATTTTTGCGCCCAAGCTGAAACCAGGACAATTGGTAGAATCTCTGGACTGGCACTCAAGGGTCAGGGGGTGATTAAAAACTCCCCAGATGATTCCAGTTATAACTGAAAACCAGCGGAATAAAAAATGTCATATATCCTAGCTTCTTTTCATGCTAAAATGCCTGTGTAAAACTCATTTCAGTTTAACACTCCTTGCATTCCCCCAGTCAATGATACCCATTTCCAAATTTGTCTATCTCAGAAATTTCCTAATGGTAAAATTTTCAAGAGGGCTTAGGAAAAAGAAAGTGTTTAAAAGAATCTGTTGCCATTCCACATTGGCAAACAAAAGGTCTGCAAATGATACATCCTGGATGCAGCTCAGCTTGTTATTTTGACAAGCACCTAATTCACGTTTACTTAAAAGAAAAAATGTATGTGCATTTTGTATAACTTTTAATAGTTTTCTACCATCTTGTGACTTGGATTGTTCCTGTCATAAGCTTAGATTCACTGCAGCTGTTTCCTGCACAATCCAAAAGCATAACTTTTACAAGTTTCATTTCCTGTAAAGATAAAAGCACAGAGTTGTGAATAGATCTCTGGGCAGCTCTTTTACTGAAGCTGGTGGAAAATGGTGTCAGAGTTATTGACACAGTGAGAGCTTTTTACCACTTTGGGACCAGCCCCTTCTCTGTTGCTTCATCTCATCTGGTTCCTAGAGTAATATCGCTCTCGTCATTGATGCTGCAGCCCACAAATTTGTTTCTCTAGTATTGGCTGTGGTGGCTGCTCCTGTCAAAGCTGGGAAAATATTGGTTAGATGACCAAGAACATTGTAAAAGTCACACACAGTTGTCAGTGAGTTGTTAGAATGCCAGTAAGTTGGAAGTGATACAACAAACCCTACCTCTTCAGTGAACAAGAGTGGCCAAACTTTGCAGCATCCTCTTAACTCGTGACAGCAGATTGATGCATCTAAATGATGTACACTTCACAAAGGCAGGTATTTTTGTCTGTGTTGTTCACTCTGTTATACAGAGTGGGGCAAAAGTAGGTTTACAGTTGTTTGTTGTGCCGAGCCAGCTCAGCAAGGGTTCCACAAGCCTGAGTGAGGGCGGTAAATGGTTGAAGAAATGACAGAGAGAATAAGCTGGGTCTAGACTAGATGGATCTTCCTGTGCCTGGCTGAGGCCACAGAGAGATCCAGAGGCAAGAGGAGCCTTTATTTTATAGCCAGAGGTAAACAAAGTAGTGGTCACCATAGTTATAATGTTCTTGTGAGTTTCACTTGTTTTGGCAGCACTTGCTACATCTCCCTCAGCCCATTAGCTTCCCAGATAAGATCTAGGGAGCATCATAAGGTCAAGCCTAATTATGCTAAGAGGACTGTGCCCTCTAAGCTGGGACTTGTTTGTGGCTTTGCCAACAGGTCAGTCCGAGGCTTAGCGCTGTAGCTGCGCCCTACAGTTTGTATGACAAATAATGCAATAATTGACAAGAATAAACTTTTGCATGCTCACAACTGTAAGTCTACTTTTGCCCAACCCTGTATACTCATCACTCAGAACAGTACCAAGCCAAGGAAGGTGCTCA